TGTTTAGAAATGATAGACGTTAATACAATGCTTTTCTCAAAAGCTAAACCTTTTTTGCTGCTTAGTTTGTGAGATTCGGATATGTGCACACTGGGTATCGTATAACTATCTTATTGTTAACGTCGCCTTCTTTGATAACTTTTTGGAAAATAAACATGTTTGTTGTCTTTATTTTTTGTGTATTCACTGTATTGTATTGAACAAAATGGTTATGCGGCCAGCGCTCGTCATTCTCTCAGTTATCTAGCCTGCTGTGAAAAAAGTTTGGTGACCACTGCTCTAGACGAAAGACACAGAAGAATAGGTAGCTAGATGAAAAGTGACTTAACGATCTACTTGACCAGTGTGTTATGTGTAAACTACTCATACTTGCACAAACAAGAAATTATGAAAATCACGCTATTACTACAAAGAGGTAGAAAACACATTGTATGATTATATACCATAGAGACAATTCACATAATCTTTATTATTACTTTTTCATCATAATAATGTTTTGAAATGCATAAGTAGTTTATTTGCAAACATACTTACAGTATATATAGATTATAGTTTCATGCCAATAGCTTACACTGTGATTGGTTGTCATTCTGCCATTCAGAAAGTGTAACACCAAAACAAAGCGTTTAAAATATATTAAAGGCCTATCTTGTGAAAGTGGGTTTTCTCTGGGTACTTCCATCCCCCACCCCACCCCACACACACAAACAGCCAATTCTACGGCACTTGAATTTTATTATCCCAGCCTTGGCATTGGAGTTACAGATCCCAACCACCCAGTGACCCTGATCACGGGAAACCTGTTATTGTATGGTTTGTCGAATGTTTGTCGCCTTGCTTCTTCTCAACGATTCCTCATCGACCTTGATCTTCTCTCTACCCCGGAACCCTCCGGACATGATCTCCATTATCCAATCTCAAGACTTCAAATTTGCCATAGGGTAACATCTGATCAATCTCTCTAAATAAATTTAAGTAATCCACGAATATAATAAATAGTTATGGAGAACGGGGAGAAGGGGAGTGCTAATATTCCTGAATACCCCAGTTTGGGAAAGTTTCTTTCCCTTAAAAACTAAATCCCTGTCACCAAATTTTTCGGTTTATATATATACATATATTAAAGGGGGAGGAAGAGATCCGAAATGAACCTGAATTACCTGACTCTCTCTGGTCGCGTACAACGACTAAATGCTGATAATGCTCAGTCTCGAAGTGATATCAACATCCTCATTTGTGCAATCGTCCACCATTTAATTAGTACAGCAAAACATCGGTACAGGAGGGAGGAAGAGGTGGAATTTTCATACCTGTCTCTCCCAGATCACTAAAAGGATCTAGATCCCAATGAAGTCGTTCATATTGAATGAGGAAGAATAAAATCTAACTCCTCCAGATCCCGATAAAGAAGAACCCAAGACTGAGCGCGGCCTAGTGATTAACGTGTGTGACTGTGAATCTAAGGTTTGGTGGTTTGCGTACCGTAACCCTGAAAATAAAATCGCGCTTGTCATTTTGGACAGTTGAGGCTGTTCCCTAGCTGTCTTCTATTTAGTATATCACTTCAAAATTAAGGATGACTAGTGCAGATAGTCCCCTTGTGGCTTTCATGAAATTCGACAAATAAATATATACTATGTCCAAAACTAATAGAGTGTCATAGACGCGACTCCCAGAATTGAAATATCGCATGACAAGCATGTACAAATCAAAATTTTGGCTGATCAAGGATATCCATATTTCATAAAAGCTGTGTGAAAGACACTGAAGAAGGTACGTTAACGCTGGCACTATTTGTAATAGAAGTGGTCAAAGTAGAAAATCAAAACTCTACAAAAGTTATGATAAGTATCTCAGGATATGTTCTTTAAGAGACATTGTTGTAAACACAAATATGAATGTTACCTTGGGAATAATAAGATGCAAATTAGTACTAAATGATTTCAATGGACATGTTGATGCTCGAAAACTACTACTAAAAAAAGTAAGCAAACCAATAGTTTGGAATGAGCATAGGATCATAAAAAGTGTAATGATCAACATGGTAAATGTGTGATCTTTACAGGCGAATTCAAATTGTTTGACAGCAATCAATAACAGCCTGTTCAAGGGTAGAGAAGAAGAAAGTATCATATTCAATGTAGAATATCTGGAGTTAAGCATTGTATGGGATCAGTATAAGTTTGAGTCTGCATCTCAGCAAATGGCGTTGGTGATTTACACAAAAATGATGACATTGACAAATATAAACAGATTCTGATCCATCATGCCATTCCATCAGGAATACGCTCATTGGACAGAAATTAATCTTCCACAAAGAAAATGATCCATTATAAACAGCAGATGTGGTAAAAGATATCTTGATGGTATAGAGACTGATGTAACAATCACATCATGGCTTGTTCTGAACAATGTCTGAAATTGATATTCATGAGTACATGGACCTATGTAAAACATTAGAAAACAAAGGTGGTTAGGGCGCTCGACTCGCAATCTGAGGGTCGTGGGTCCGAATCCCCGTCACACCAAACATGCTCGCCCTTTCAGCCGTGGGAGCGTTGTAATGTGACGGTCAATTCCACTATTCGTTGGCCAAAGAGTTGGCAGTGGATGGTGATGACTAGCTGCCTTCCCTGTAGGCTTACACTGCTAAATTAGGGACGGCTAGCGCAGATAGCCCTCGTGTAGCTTTGCGCGAAATTAAAAAACAAACAAACAAACTCTGTCAATGGAGAGACGTTGTTACTGTCCTGAGTTTGGTACAATGGTATTAAAAATTATTCTTGTTGTATTATAATCAATAGTTTATAACAAAAAAAGAAAAAAAAGAAGAAGAGCAAACATGAAAGATAAAATTTAAATAACAAAAATTACTTGTTCAATTGCGGGATACCACTTAGGTAGCTAAGGTCGTCCCTATTAGAAATGAAAAGTAAATACTTGAAAGTTAAATAAAATAAGCACATAGTTTATTTGAATAGACACATAAATCATAAATTTACTCCTTAAGTGAAAGAACTCATTTTGTTTAGAAACCGCTTCAAATGTTTTAGTTATTGATAAATATTTGTATTTATTAAATAGTTACTAAGGTTATCTACCTCCGTCTCTAGTTTTGAACTACTGACCAGAGGGAAGACAGTCACCATACTTCCCCCATCCAGGATAAGGGATTGATTGTCTCTCTTAAAACGCACATACACCTTAAAGTGTGAGAAGTATTTTATAGTAATACAGAGGTTCGAAACAAGATCGCCAGCTCCAAAATCTAAAGCTCTTCCACATGGTCTACTTACGCTTGATAAATTTTATTAATTAATAAAGACGGGCAGGATATTGTATAATGCAATATACAAAAAAAAAAGGGGGGGGGGAGAAGCACAAAATTTCCTCAGCTGTTCGAACCTCATAAAGTTACTGGGATCATGCAGAAATATATCGGTAAAAGTGACAGTACATATTTTATTAGTTAGACGGTATATTAAATCAGGAACATTACTTAATAATAAGCATTTTATCGGATCTCATTTCTTTAGGCAGTTTACTATGATCGGAAGCTATTAATAATTAAATAATATTTCAAACACACTATAGTAATTCATAGGATATCCTATTTACTTATGAATGAAAACATATGTGTATCAAACCTTTATTTCACGAAATATTGTTAAAAATTTGTTGCAGCTACTACTAAGATGAAATCTAAAGCTAACCTTAACCTTCTTTAGTCCTCCAGTGGCTCAGTGGTAAACTTGAAGGCTTATAAAAGTAAAATTCAAGTTTTGATCTCAGCAGTGGACACTGCAGATACTACACTGTACAACTTTGCACTTAGTTTTAAATATACTTAACTACAATTTATAACCAAGCCCGGATAGCTCAGTCGGTAGAGCGTTAGGCTTTTAACCTAACGGTCCAGGGTTCGAGTCCCTGTTCGGGCGATTATAGCTTTTAAAAGAGTGAATTGTTGTAACTCACCAGAATGGTAACTGGTTGTCATACGAGAAGAGGTTGAAAATTTCTAATTGTTTTCCCTTGAAAAAAGGAGAGTTAGGGGAAGATTTGATTGAGGTGTTTAAGATTGCGAAGGAAATTGATAATGTGGATGTGTAATCTTTTTTTTTTATATATATTTAACAGTGAGAGTAGTGGAACTAGGGTAGACAAATATATATTTTGGCAGGGTAGGAGACCAGTAGGTCCCGTGTTGTCCCAAAACGTTATGTTAAGATCTCCACCAAAAGAAAGAGATTCTGAAGTAAAAAGTATGCTTTGGACTACGAATTAGGGGGTTGTTCGCTACGCACTGCTTCGAAAACGCATTTCACAGTTTGGAGCTTTGGGTGACGATCAAATTCCAATATTCGATTAGACAAGATTACCATAACCCAAGAGTTAGCGGTATGTATTGTTATAACTGCTTTCACTCTAGTTTGTCAGTTTAGAAATTAGGGATAGCTATGTGTAGAAAACACTCCTGTAGCTTTGTGCAATATTATGAAACAAACAAATCTTTTGTGGGCTATCAGTGTAAGCTCTAGTGGCTTCCTTATGATACAAAATTCTAAATATCAGTATAGCTTTAAACTAACGAGAACCGCAAAACAAATATAGGCACTGCAAGATAATTGAGGTGAGGCAGGAAGACAGTAAGATCAGTAAGAGTTATTTACTACAATTTTGTGCTTCCAGAAGTTAATTCAAATAGATCGCAGGCTATGGACAGTTCTTTGTATATATTTCTAACTTTAATGGATTGTATTAATTAAATATGCCTTTTAAACTTCCATATTATACTTACAGTGAGTTCTTTTTATTAAATAATTTTCTTTGTAAGTAAAATTAGTAAATATGTTTACAATGCATATTAATAAATTATCTTTAAGTGATAAAACTAATGTGTCATTTATTGTTAAGTCAAAGACAGTCATAAATTATCCATCAAAATAATTACCATTTTAATTGTAAAATGAAGGAAATATTTGTAAAATTAAAATCTGAAAGTTGTACCAAAGTATCACAAACCAGAAACATATATGACTTTTCAAACTTCTGCTATTGTCTAAATTATTGTTCCCCAATAACAAACCCAGTTGTATTTTTAATCCATTTTTATTTTATTTTTCAGTGATAGCAATACCTATCATTTAAAAAAAATATCTTGCGTCAGCCCTCTATGGTATTTGGGTAGATGTAATTCAGTTCAGTTCCGTTAATTGTGTTTTGCAAGAGGTTACTGGTTAAACTTAAAGCTAGGCACATATATTATCAGGTGTTTGATTTTGTAGTTTAAACGTGATTATTGAAATTGAAATGGTGAGTGTAACTGTAATTACTTTTTAGTTTTTCATGTTATTTCTTTGTCGAGGAAGTAACTTGAAAGTCGCAGTTGGACACTGGGAGTGAGAGTAACCCTAGATCTCCGAAAGTTCTAACTTTTAGTTTTATAATTATAGTAAATTAGTATCGATATCATTCACTGTCAGTATCACGTTATTTAGAATTACTTGGAAAAACGTATGTGTAGCCTATACTATAGCTCGCGTTGGCCAAAGAGGAGTACCTAAGGTTCAGGTCTAGTTTTGGTGTATTTGTTATGTAGATTATTTGAATTGCATAATAATATTTGATTTTAATACTAATATTTTAATTTTTAGACATATTTATCAATAATTGGACTATGACTTGTTTAAGTTTTAACTTATGTCATGGTAAGTTTATGCCGTTGTACTTGTATTTTTTATAAGGTATTGTCTAAAGAAACTTTAAATTTGTTATTTAATATTTTACACAGATGCATAAAAGAAACAAATACAGTAATTTTAAAAATATCATTTAAATATTCACACAAAAGGTAGATATAGTCTTACAGTTACATTTGTAACTACCAAACATATCATAAAATACATTTTAGTTTTTTTACAACAAAATGTATATATTTATGTCAGTAAATACAAGTAATTTGTACATGTTTTCAGAAGACACAATCTGCTTCAAAATTTTTCATGATACTTGACTAGATAATTGGAATTCTTTCTTAGGTGGTAGTCAGTCTTGTGGCATATGTATCCCAATATAATTTGAGAGAAGTTTGTATGTTTGTCCTCTAACTACTCCTAGGCATTTGGTTTAATTAACTAAGAATGATTAGGGATGTGTTGATATGTTATATTTCTTTTACAAAACATAGGTTTCATAGCTCCAGTGCTGGCTAAATATGGGTCAGTCAGTGGGGGTGGCCACTAGGAGTACTGATGAGATTTCTCGATTTTCCTTTCTCATTTCTTTTTTACACGTTGTTTGTGTATTTTCAAAATAGACACATATTGAGATGTTTTTAAGTCATGTGTTACTTACTGGTTTTTTATTAAAAAAAACAACTAAAATATAACAAAATGTTGTTTAAATTATAAAGCCCATTAGACATGAATAATTTTATTCTTATGTACTTCAAGTTTTTGTATTGCCACTGGCATATCTTGTGAGAAAAAAAAATTCATAAACTTCTCACCATGCATTGCTTGGATAAATATGCTAGTAGTTATAATTTACATAATATCTTTAAGAATATTTTATTTGACTCTCAGATATATATTTGTACTTAATTTTTACATAATTTCAGCCTAAAGGGTTAAAACAGAAGATCACCATACAGAAACTTGTCCATCCAAACAGTAGAAAAGCTTTGCAACTTTCACGAAAAGAATATCGAGGAAGCAAAGTTCAGAGGTGTGTTGCATTTATTGGTACTTTTTAAAGAGAAGGTTGGCTAGTTAGGAAAATCTTAAAATATCACAAAAAAATAATGTACTTTTAAAGTTCTAAGATTTCACTTTTGATGAAAAGAGAGTGTCTAAAGAATTTATAATAAAAGGGTATTTATATCAATCATATTTATGTAATGCAAAATCATTTTTTTTAACTGTATTTAAAATTTTGCCACACATTCACAAAAATTACTGTAAATTGTTTTGAGTTGTAAAAACTACCAGTTAGTCTCGGAGATCTTGTGTAAGGTAAACGTAATATGAACTGTCACAGAATTAGTATGTGCTGTAAGTGCAATTGATGATACTTTGTATGCATGGGAACAAAACCGTCAAAAAGGTGCTAAATCTTAACAGCAAGACATGTACACTTAATGCAATCATTCAAACTAACTTATGCAAGATTTCTGAAGAGCATCTATAAGATTGGTTAAACCACTAAAATTTCAAGCAAATAGGCAAAATTTGCAAGTATAAAAAGTTTCAATTGTATTTTTGGGTTAAAAATAAGATAAATGTGTTAATTACTGTCATAAATTAAAGAGGTATCTATATACAAATAGATGATGGCTTTATTATGTGATTCTGAAAGTATTTTGAATTTCCTTTTCATTTTGAGTTGTTGATTGCAAAATAAGAACTTTATTAGTTTATTCTTATTCTGTGAAATATTCATGCATAATTGTAATTTCTTTTGTCCATTTTTTATAACTTGTGTCTTGCAGGAGTTTCCTTTTTGTCTTTTAGGAAAAAAGAAGAAACAAATTTGAAACAGCAAATTAAATGTACGTAAGTACATCACGTTTGAAAATTATACAAGTTCATAAAATATAACAAATGTCTTTTTGAAAAAGTAGGAGTTTTAGGGGTGATTTATATAACTTAGTTATTTAAAGATTAATTTTTTAGAGATAAGGTACTGACTTTTATAGAGTAATAAAGATGGACATGAAAGTTGGAGTGAATTTATAAAATGTGAAACATCAAGTTGCTAAATAAAAGTACTTTGAATTAGTTTACCTTTGGGATAAAAATTTTTATTACACATGCATTTAGAATCATAATATCTTTGCACTTTTGGTGGATGGAAAGATTTTTTATTTGAATGTAATTATCAACCTGATAATAGAAACCACTCAGCCTATCAAAATCATCCATTCTTACCAGATAATATTGACAAATCTGTTTAAAGGTACTCTTGAAATACTTGAAATGTGTACTTTTATGAACTAATTGTCTCTGTCAAGCGTCATGCATAAATTTACTACATTTATCTCTACAGAATGTCATCCTTGAAATGTAAGAAAGAACAATAGTAAGATGCATTAGTTAACAGTGCCTTGTATGTGTTTTGTGAATAACATGCATTGAAGTGGATGCTTTCCAACATTGTTCTGAATACAGTTAATTACAAATGTTGACATTCTGAACTGTGAAATGAAAGTTAACAAAAAATTTTTTTTCAAATTGGTTCAAACATTTTGCTGCATTTAATATTCTTTCAATAAATAAGCATCCACAGTGTCAAAACTTGTAAATTGTAATGAATATTAATTATACTTGTCATACAACATTAGTATTAGGCCTATTATGTTTTTAAACACTACATTTTTTGTCTAGTCCTTTGGAGATTTTCAAGAGTTAGAAGAGTGTATAATAATAGTATTCAAACCATAATATGTTTGCCATATCAATTGCTAATAATACATTTCACTTAATCCAGAGTTCATCTGGGTGGCTGGGACACAATAAATACAGTAGTGGTCAGAACACTATTTATGTAAGCCATTTCTTCCTAGAACTACTTTTATAGTGTGAATACCTTTTTCAAGCTGGCAAAGTATGATTATAATTAATTATACTTGTCATACGAATAACATACTTTAAATGCTTCTGCCTTTTTTATTTTTGTGTAATATTTTATTTACAGTGAAAAAACTTTTATGGTTCAAAGAAAACCTTGAACAGAAAGATTCGTTATCACCAGCAGATGTTTTTCATGCAATTGAACGGTAAGACAAGAAATATGTGTTTTATGTAATTAGGATTAGATAATATATCAGCATGGCTGCATTAGATCTGTAATAATGTTGTTTTTTTTATTAAGAAGTTTAAGTATAATCTGAAGTAACTTAATAAAATGTGTACTTCTGTGTCATTCCTTAAAAAAAAAAAAGCTATTCAGCATTTACTACTATATATGTTAATTTTAAAAAGTTGCATATTCTGAAATATTCCCCCCTTAGGATTGGTTAGTCTGTAGCCATGAGATACATATATTGGTAACTGCTTGAAGTCTATATCACATTTTGGTTTTATTTAATTTAACCGATTGATATCCTTTGTTTTGGATTGTTATTGATATTTTAAGATATCTATTTTTAATTCTCAGAAGCTTTAGTTTACTCTGTTTGATCCACGTATTTTTTAACTACCAAAAGAATACTAACATTTACTCTGATACCACATGTTTTTTAATTTATTGAAAATAATTTTTTTATAGCTATATAACACACATTATTTAAAAACTTTTGATATTTATCAAATAAGAATAGACAGTTGAAATACATAATGTATATATATGTATGTATGGCCATACATTTAGTACTAAAACATTCAACTAAACTTTAATGACTGAATTGGAAGAAAAGTGCTCAGCAGCAGTAGTAGTAATATTTTATAGTTTATACAGATAAGAACTGGAATAAAAACTAAAACGTAATTTTTATTGGTTAATTGAGTTTACTGTATTTTTTTTAAGTGAAAGTAAACATAAAATCTTGACTAATACAAAACATTAAGCTTCAAAATAATTATTATTTAGTTTAATGTTAAGAAAACTCCAACAAACAACTTAAATTTTGATATGCACTACCAGCACTTGTGTTTAAAATTTTTTTAAATTGTAATAAATAATTAAAAACGTTTTATATTTACACAATAAAAACTTTATTGTGTAAATATAAAAC